GAACACTTATTCGAACCCTTTGCACGATGGCAGATATGTAATTACGGTGTTTATTTGCAATTTCTCATGCATTAGGGTTTGAACACTCAGACACTTATTTGGACCCTCAAGCATGATGGAAGATACGTAATTATGGTGTTTAGTTGCCATTTCTCATGCATTAGGGTTTAAACACTCAGACACTTATTCGGACCCTCTTGAATGATGACAGATATGTAATTATTGTGTTTACTTGCCATCTCACATGTATTTGGGTTCGAACACTCAGACACTAATTCGGAGCCTCTTACAGGATGCAGATATGTAATTATGGTGTTTACTTGCCATTTCTGATGCATTAGGGTTCAAACAGTCAAACACTTATTCGAACCCTCATGCATGATGGCAGATATGTAATTATGGTGTTTACTTGCCATTTCTCCTGCATTAGGGTGGAAACTCTCGAACGCTTATTGGGACCCTCTTGCATGATGGCAGATATATAATTATGGTGTTTACTTGCCATTTCTCCTGCGTTATGGCTCGAACACTCAGACATTTATTCGGACCCACTTGCATGATGGCAGATATGTAATTGTGGTGTTTACTTGCCATTTCTCATGCATTAGGGTGGAAACTCCTGGACGCTTATTGGTGCCCTCTTGCATGATGGCAGATATGTAATTATGGTGTTTACATGCCATTTCTCAAGCGTTAGGGTTCGAACACTAGACACTTATTCAGACCTTCTTGCATGATGGCAGATATGTAATTATGGTGTTTACTTTCCATTTCTCATGCATTAGGGTTCGAACACTCATGCATGATGGCAAATATGTAATTATGGTGTTTGCTTGCCATTTCTCACTTATTAGGGTGGAAACTCTTGAACGCTTATTGGGACCCTCTTGCATGATGGCAGGTATATAATTATGGTGTTTACTTGCCATTTCTCTTGCATTAGGGTTATTCGGACCCTGTTGCATGATAACAGATATGTAAATATGGTTTTTACTTGCCATTTCTCATGAATTAGGGTTGAAACTCTCGGACGGTTATTGGGACCCTCTTGCATCATGGCAGATATGTAATTATGGTGTTTACTTGCCATTTCTCATGCATTAGGGTTCGAACACTCAGACACTTATTCGGGCCCTCTTGTATGATAGTAGATATGTAACTATGGTGTTTACTTCCCATTTCTCATGCATTAGGGTTCGAACACTCAGACACTTATTCGGACCTTCATGCATGATGGGAGATATGCAATTATGGTGTTTAGTTGCCGTTTCTCATGCATTAGCGTTTAAACACTCTGAAACTTATTCGGACCCTCTTGCATGATGGCAGATATGTAATTATCACTACAACAAAAGTAATCTATGGTGACGAAAACTAGTGAAGAAAATAAATTTTGTCACTAAATAAAAATAATTTGTGAGGAATTTATAAATTTTGTCACATATAATAAAAAAATAAAAATGATAGGTGACAAAATTCATTTTCGTCAATAAATACTTCATTTTAAGTGAGGAAAAATTAAGTTTCGTCACCAAAAAATTTTTCGCTAATTTTTTTTCGGTGGTGCCAAAATTTTGGGACTTTTGGTGAGAAAAATATTTGTCACTAATTGTATAATTGTTTGTGAGGAATATATTTTCGTCACCAAAATGTTTTAATATTTTTGAGATCTTTTGGTGAGGAAATAATATTGTCACCAATTTTGGTGGGAAATTTTTGATATATTGAGCAGCAATTAAAAAAAAAGGTTATTAATTTTTTTACTCCTTTTTCTGTTTATCATTTCTCTCTTTCTCTCTCTCAAAGTAGGGTATTGGTTTGTCTTACCTCTTGCTTCTCCACCACGCCGATCGCCATCATCATCGTCTCTATTAGCCTTACCGATCGCCGCTGCCACTAGTAGCCTTGCCGGTAACCGCCGCATCTTCTTCGCTCACCGATTTGGTATGTGATTTCTCTTTGCTCTTTTTCTGGTATCTCTTTCTCTTTCTCTTATTCTTTGTTTTGGTATGGTGACAAAAATTAGTGAAGAAAACAAATTTTGTTACTAAATAAGAATAATCCATGAGAAATTATAAATTTTGTCGCATATAATAAAAAAAATAAAAATAATAGGTAATGAAATTTATTTCCGTCAATAAATACTTGTTTTTAGGTGAGAAAAAAATTAAGTTTTGTCATCGCAATTTTTCCCACTAATTTGTTTGATGGCACCAAAATTTTGAAACTTTTGGTGAGAATTTTTTTTTCACCAATTAAAAAATTATTAATGAGGAATATATTTGCGTCACCAATAATTAATTTTTTTTTTTTTGAAAAACTAGATTTTAAATATTTTAAGACCATTTGGTGAGAAATATATTTTCGTCATTAATAATTTTTAATATTTTCAGGACTTTCAGTGAGAAAATTATTTTATCACTAATTTTAAAAGAAAAATTTTGACATATTGCAGTAATGAAAAAAATTAGTCTATTATCTTTCCTTTTTTTTTTTTTTTTTTTTTTGTTGATCAGTTTTCCTATCAATCAAAACAAAACACAAGTTCTGTGTGTTTTGTTCATTGACGAATCGGTTTTCCTCTCAATCTCTCTCTCTCTCTCTCTCTCTCTTTCCATCTCAAAACAAAACACAAGTGCTGCGTATTCTTCTCCAGCACCCCTTCAGTGTGTTCTTCTCCAGCGCCACTGCCGATGTCCATGTTCTCCTCCTTCAGTGTCGCCACAGACGTTGTATCTCCTTTATTACTGTGTGTTCTCTTTCATCAGGTGTGGGTCCTCTCTCTCTCTCCCTCTCTCCGTCTCTCTCTCACTCAATTTCTCTATTTTTCTATCTCTATTTTCCCTAATTTTCAGAATTAATGTTTTCCCTAATTTTCGAAACTAATTTTCAGAAATTAGGCAAGAAATTCAGGCTGATGGTGTACTTATTGAATGATCTAAAGAAATATGCTTACTTGTTTATTAATGTTCGTATCTTAAGGAGCCCCTGTATTTGTATGAATCAATTCTGGGGTTAAATTTGATATTGCTTATCTTGTGTCTGAATAATTATTGTGACAATGCTTATTTCTGTGGAGATTACATTTTAAAATTTAAGTTTAGAAAGTTAACAAAGGTATAATTCACAACTTTTCAACATTTGTTTCAAAATTTTTTTTTTTTTTTTCTTTTTTTTTTTTTTTTTTTTTTTGTTGATCAGTTTTCCTATCAATCAAAACAAAACACAAGTTCTGTGTGTTTTGTTCATTGACGAATCGGTTTTCCTCTCAATCTCTCTCTCTCTCTCTCTCTCTCTTTCCATCTCAAAACAAAACACAAGTGCTGCGTATTCTTCTCCAGCACCCCTTCAGTGTGTTCTTCTCCAGCGCCACTGCCGATGTCCATGTTCTCCTCCTTCAGTGTCGCCACAGACGTTGTATCTCCTTTATTACTGTGTGTTCTCTTTCATCAGGTGTGGGTCCTCTCTCTCTCTCCCTCTCTCCGTCTCTCTCTCACTCAATTTCTCTATTTTTCTATCTCTATTTTCCCTAATTTTCAGAATTAATGTTTTCCCTAATTTTCGAAACTAATTTTCAGAAATTAGGCAAGAAATTCAGGCTGATGGTGTACTTATTGAATGATCTAAAGAAATATGCTTACTTGTTTATTTATGTTCGTATCTTAAGGAACCCTATATTTGTATGAATCAATTTTGGGGTTAAATTTGATATTGTTTATCTTGTGTCTGAATAATTACTGTGACAATGCTTATTTCTGTGGAGATTACATTTTAAAATTTAAGTTTAGAAAGTTAACAAAGGTATAATTCACAACTTTTCAACATTTGTTTGTCTAAATGTTATGCAAAAATTGTCTTGAACCTTTGGATTCGAACTATGTCAAGCTTTTCAGTCACCATGGCTCTGTAGCTTTATTCAAATGTGAACAATCTTCTTGCTGTTATCTCATCTTATTATAGGATAGTATTTGACCTTTCCCAAGACTCAGTAGGACAGACTTTTGTAGGATGTGTGATTGGAGTTTGAAATTGTCTAGAGGACAAGTTGTCTGCCAAAAAAAAAAAAAAGGTTAGATACATTATTGATTAATGTAATTTCTTATAGGGTAAATAACAATGACCTCCCTTGAGATTTGGAGGAAATAATTATATTAGGTGCTCTTAGGATGGTAACTAACTTTTGGCTAATTTGCAAAGAACCTGCAAAATGCACCAAAGAGCATTCTGCAGTGTCATAATACAGATAAGAAAATTTTAGTCTGAAATATTTCACCTTCTGTAACATTTAGCTATCTATATGACCTCAGGTGTGACGGTCGAATTAATCTATCATAACTGCCTATCCTTAATTCTAGCAATGCTCGCCATACCATACGAACATACCAAAGCTCAAGCATGAGCTGTTCACATTCACATTATTCCCTTGGTAATCCTCGTTGCTAAGCATAGAAAAGACAGAGGAAACCTTAGACATGCATAAGGTTCAAACAAATTCAACTATTTTAGTTGTGAAGCCACTTCAATGTCTTTTCTGTCATGTTCCTAATTGGGTTTTAGCTCTGTTGTCGTAGTTTAGACTTTATTATTTCTCTCCCCGATTTAATGTTTGGGGTTTATTGTTGTCTCCTCATTCTTCTCTTATTTGTCTTAAAAATCTGCTCTGGGTATTTCTGAATCAATGAACCATTAAGAATTTCCAACTTGAGTTGCTGAGTGCCTGTTTCTTTTGCCCAACGAACTCGCTTCCAAATTCTCTGTAAATTGAGTGAAGCTTCTTATGTCTGTAAGTTGTGCAAAGCTTTCAACCACTCGAAAGACAAACAATTTACTTTGCTTTCTTTGCCCCGGGTCTAGTCATGTCCAAGTTCATTGCTGCATTTCGTGAGCTTGCTAGTTATAGGGAGCTTATTCGTTCACAAGTAAGTAGTACATTACAATTAGTATTCAGGATCTTAACGTATGATTATAGAATTACAGAACATGATTTTATCTCTGATCTTTTATGTTTAATGGACAAGTTTATATGGCAGTTTGAATTCCAGAGAGAGCTATACTAGTTTCTTTGGTTAATATGTATCTTCAGTAGCTAGGTTATACCCTATTGCTTTGCTTAAAATGCATATTTTTTGTTTTAATAATGAAATTTCATGTTTATTTTGTCATACCAGTTGATTCTTCAAGTTGTTAACATATGATTGTATTGCTATGCTATCCCTTTCATGCCAATTAATGGTTGACTGGAAAACATCAAATGGGTGAAAAGCTACACAAGGGAATATTGGTTGTGAGATAATGGATGAACCAGTCCTAGGCTGGTCTGTAAGCCTGTTTGTTTGATTAGCACAACAAAAAGAACTTTATTCATAACAAAAGTGAGAGTACAACAGGGAGGACCAGGGGTTCACCAACAAAAGAAAAAGTAAAAGGAGAGCCAAAATCACCTTACATACTGCTGTCTAATCTCTACAAATAAAAAACAAAGGAATCTTCTTGAAAAGAGGGGACACTGACACCTAGAAAGATGAGAAATAAGAAACTTTATACCACAACCTTCCTAGATCATCAAATATCCATGCATTTTGTTCCGTCCAAATCACAGAAAATGCATAGATAACATAGTTCAATAGAGCATGAGCTTTAGTATTGGATCCAAATCCCTTGAAGTCATTGTGCAGCGTTTGAGGACAAGAGAAAGGGGCAACTCAATCCATGCTTGAATATGAAATATGGTATGTTGTGAAAACAAAGGCACCAAATAATGCAAAAATAAATTATCAGTGCTCTCCTCATCCCTTCTACACATGATGCACCATTGAGGAAACAAAATGCAAGCAGTTTTATTTTTTTGCTTATCAATTTTTATGTATTTATTGTTTATGCTTTTGTATTATGTTTTTTAGGGCTTACCAATGCCACAAAAATGATTGGCGCAGTTATCTCTTCAACCTTTGCACGAGGTAATTTTTGTTCCAAATGGGGATTTACATGACAATGTGGAGATCCAACAATCACAGCCACTTGATGCTGATATAGAGGCACAGAGGGAGGCAGCCCCTCAATCTAGTGTCAGTAAGATCTTCAATTTTACTATTAAAATGAAATTCTCTGTTTTAAATCTATTATAAGATAAAATTCTTGACCAATCACCATACTCGCCGTCTCATATGTGAAGCAAGTGGAATGATTTCCAGCTATGGCAGATGTTGGCTAAGGATTTTGTTTGTTCATAAAAACGAGGAATATATCAAAAAACCTCATTGCTTATCAAATTTTTAACTTTAATCAACATTGTAGCCCGGAATGAACGCTAGCACTACAGATTAGTCAAGAAAATGAAGAAAATGAGTGTGTGAAAGGATAAAATTTCAAGTTTGAACAGTATGTAATAGTTGAACTATTCGTGTAGTTCTTAGTTACGTGAAATTCCTAGGGCTTCTTCTGTTTGAATTAGCACAAGTGGAAAGAAAAATGTATTTTCACTTTCCAAGTCAAAGATCAAAAAAATTCTAGTTTGGCGGACCCAACCAAAAGACAATAAAAAAGGAGTTAAGGAAAGAGAATTTTCACTTTCCAAGTTAGAGATCATAAAAGTGAAGTTGCAGATGACATATTACCATGCTGCTGATTCACCATTTTCCCATCGGTGAAAATAGAGAAAAGATTTGCATCTATTGCAGATGATATCTTGTGTGAATTTCATTCATTTGCAAACCTATTTTGTCTTCGGAAAAATGTTATTCATATTCATATTCATTTATTGAAAATCAAAATGTCCATCACTTTGTTTCATTCTTTGTTTCCGAAAACACAAAAAATAAAAACGAATAAAGCAAAAACACAACCAAAGCCAAGTAGGAAGGCAGGGTAGAAGTTATACCTTTGGGAATAAAAATGCTGAAGCAGGAGAAGCATCCGAACAGATTACATGACTTAGGAGGAACAGGAATAGTCCTTGTCTTTTTACGAAGAACAACTTTGGTAATGGAAGAATTACATTTAGGACAGTGCACACTCTGCTGATCTAACTTCTCTACAACTCTCTCAAATTCAAATTGTATGTTTTCATCGCAATTTTTTATGAGTGAGTCTGTTAATGTTAACAAGTTCTTTTGTTCCTTCACTTGACAGTTTGAAAAGCATGTATGCTTCTTCACATGCAATTTCATTCTTGCTGAAACCAAGCATCAGTTAGTGAATTCTTAATGTTCTTCCAAGCCAAATATGTGCCTAATCATGCTGATAATGCTCTTTATGATCACCTCTTTAGGTTTCCAGACTTTAGCATTCGCAGGTGGACGAAGAAGTTACGGCACCTATGCTTCGGCGTCTAACGGTAAAAGTTTTACATAATTGGTTGAATTCATGTAATATAATTAATTACGACTTATAATATTTGTGGCGGTTGCTCTAAGTTAGTGATGTGGTTAATAGGAACTTATCATGTACAAAGGAACTTCTGGTTGTTAAGCTAGACTCATTGTGTACACAATTTGTATTGACATGGATAGAGAGGTCTACACAATGTAATTGATAATATGTTAATATTTTTCTTGTTTATTTTCTTTTGCAGATTGGTTTTTGATGACGTTTCAAATCAAGATCAAGTGATGATTTTTTTTCCCCTGAATTGGTACTTAGTTGTACTTGCAAATCAAGATCGAGTGTTGATTTTTTTTTTTTTTTTTTTTTTTACTCCATGCTAGTTTATTTTCGGATTTTCTTTGATGGTTTTTTTTTTGGTTATACTTAATGGATTATTATTAAAGTTGTTTGATGGATATATTTTGATTTATAATATAAATTGTTTAGTGAATTTTTGTGTAGAGTGGTGTATCTAGTGGATTTCTTAGTACATTTAAAAGGCTATTGGGATATAAGCAGGGATATTTGTGAAATAATAATTTAAATTAAAATATAAAATATGGAATAAGTTTAGTGACGAATTTGTTTCGTCATTTGTATTTGTTATTATGACAAAGTGATTATTCGTCGTTAATAAACATTTTTTGTGACAAAATTTATTGCAGCGCATATATGAAAGTTTCCATTGATTTTGTTGTTTGGTGACGAAATGTATTTCGTCACGTATATAAATATATTTGCGACAAAATATATTTCGTCACCTATGTATGACTTTTGGAGACGAAAAATTTTGTCACCTTTACATCTTACCATGACGAAATTATTTCCTCATCAATGATCAACATTTGTGACAAATTTATTCGTCAACTAAAATTATAAATATAGTACTGAATAATTATTTGGTGACGAAAATGAGAATTTTTGGCGACAAAATCTTGTTTTATTGCTGACAAAAAATTTCGTCACTGAACTAATTTCATTGGTGACGAAATTATTTTTCGACGCGGTGATTTTTAGTGACAACCATTCAATGACGAAACAGGTGACGAAAATATTTTGTCACAAATATCTATAGTGACGAAATTAGCTCTTTCGAGACAAAAAAATTTCGTCATTCAAGACCCAACCTGTTGTAGTGTATGGTGTTTACTTCCCATTATACATGCATTAGGGTTCGAACACTCGGACACTTATTCGGACCCTCTTGCATGATGACAGATATGTAATTATGGTGTTTACTTGCCATTTCTGATGCATTAGGGTTTAAATAGCCGAACACATTTTCGAACCCTTTTGCATGGTGGCAGATATGTAATTATGGCGTTTATTTGCCGTTTCTGATGCATTAGGGTTTAAACAGTCGAACACTTATTTGAACCCTCTTGCATGATGGCAAATATGTAATTATGCTGTTTACTTGCAATTTATCATGCATTAGGGTTCGAACACTCAGACACTTATTCGGACCCTCATGCATGATGGCACATATGCAATTATGGTGTTTTGTTGCCATTTCTCATGCCTTAGGGTTTAAACACCCGGACACTTATTCAAACGCTCTAGCATGATGGCCGATATGTAATTATGGTGTTTACTTTCCATTTCTCAGGCATTAGTGTTCGAACACTCGGACACTTATTGGGACCCTCTTGCATGATGGCAGATATGTAATTATGGTTTTTACTTGCCATTTCTCATGCATTAGGGTGAAAACCCTCGGTCATTTATTGGGACCCTCTTGCATGATGGCAAATATGTAATTATGGTGTTTATTTGCCATTTCTCATGCATTGGGGTTCGAACACTCAGACACTAATTCGGACCCTCTTGTATAATGGCAGATATGTAATTGTGGTGTTTACTTGCCATTTCTCATGCGTTGGGGTGTAAACTCTCGGACACTTGTTTGGACCCTCTTGCATGATGGCAGATATGAAATTATGGTGTTTACTTGCCATTTCTCATGCATTAGGGTTCAAACACTCAGACACTTATTCGGACCCAGTTGCATGATGGCAGATATGTAATTATGGCGTTTACTAGCCATTTCTCATGCATTAGGGTGGAAACTCTCAGACGCTCACTGGGACCCTCTTGCATGATAGCATATATGTAATTATGGTGTTTACTTGCCATTTCTCATTCATTAGGATTTAAACACTCGGACACTTATTCGGACCCTCTTGCATGAGGACATATATGTAAATATGGTGTTTAGTTACAATTTCTCATGCATTAGGGTTCGAACACTCGGACACTTATTCGGACCCTCATGCATGATGGCAGAAATGTAAGTATGGTGTTTAGTTGCCATTTTTCTCTCATTTGGGTTTAAACACTCGGACACTCATTCAGACCCTCTTTTATGACGGCAGATATGTAATTATGGTGTTTACTTAGCATTTCTCATGCATTAGGGTGTAAACTCTCGGACACTTATTTGGACCCCCTTGCATGATGGCAGATATGTAATTATAGTGTTTATGTGCTTTTTTGGATGCATTAGGGTTCAAATAGTCGAACACTTATTCGAACCCTTTTGCAAAATGCCAGATATGTAATTATGGTGTTTATTTTCCATTTCTGATGCATTAGGTTTTAAACAGTCGGACAGTTATTCGAACGCTCATGCATGATAACAGATATGTAATTATGGTGTTTATTTGCAGTTTCTCATACATTAGGGTTCGAACACTCGGACATTTATTCGGACCCTTATGCATGATGGCAGATATGTAATTATGGTGCTTAGTTGCTATTTCTCATGCATTAGGGTTTAAACACTCGGAGACTTATTCAGAACCTCTTGCATGATGGCAGATATGTAATTATGGTGTTTACTTGCCGTTTCACATGCACTAGGATTAAAACACTCGGACACTTATTCGGACCCTCTCGCATGATGGCAAATATGTAATTATGGTGTTTACGCGCCATTTTTGATGCAATAGGATTTAAACAATCGGACACTTATTCGGACCCTCTTGCAGAATGGCAGATATTTAATGATGGTGTTTAGTTGCCATTTCTCATGCATTAGTGTGTAAACACTCGGACGTTTATTGGGACCCTTTTGCATGATGGCAGATGTGTAATTATGGTGTTTATTTGCCATTTTCCATGCATTAGTGTTCGAACACTCAGACACTTATTCGGATCGTCTTCCATGATGGCAGATATGTAAATATGGTGTTTACTTGCAATTTATCATGCATTAGGGTTCGAACACTATGACATTTATTCGGACCCTCTACCACGATGGCAGATATGTAATTATGGTGTTTACTTGCCATTTCTGTTGCATTAGGGTTTAAACAGTCGAACACTTATTCGAACCCTTTTGCATGATGGCAGATATGTAATTATGGTGTTTACTTGACATTTCTCATGCATTAGGGTTCGAACACTCAGACACTTACTCGGACCCTCTTGCATGATGGCAGATATGTAATTATGGTGGTTACTTTCCATTTCTCATGCATTAGGGTTCGAACACTCGAACACTTATTCGAACCCTCATGCATGATGAGAGATATGTAATTATGGTATTTAGTTGCCATTTCTCATGCATTAGGGTTTAAACACTTAGACACTTATTCGTACCCTCTTGCATAATGACAGATGTGTAATTAATGTGTTTACTTCCTATTTCACATGCATTAGGGTTCGAACACTCGTACAGTTATTCGGACCCTCTTGCATGGTGGCATATATGTAATTATGGTGTTTATTTGCCATTTCTGATGCATTAGGGTTTATACAGTCGAACACTTATTCGAACCCTCTTGCATGGCAGATATGTAATTATGATGTTTGCTTGCCATTTCTCTTGCATTAGGGTTATTCGGACCCTGTTGCATGATAACAGATTTGTAATTATGGTGTTTACTTGCCATTTCTCATGAATTAGGGTGGAAACTCTCGGACAGTTATTGGGACCCTCTTGCATCATGGCAGATTTGTAATTATGGTGTTTACTTACCACTTCCCATCCATTAGGGTTCGAACACTCAGACACTTATTCAGACCCTCTTGTATGATGGTAGATATGTAATTATGGTGTTTACTTCCCATTTCTCATGCATTAGGGTTCGAACACTCGGACACTTATTCGGACCCTCATGCATGATGGGAGATATGTAATTCTGGTGTTTAGTTGCCATTTCCAATGCATTAGCGTTTAAACAATCAGAAACTTATTCGGACCCTCTTGCATGATGGCAGATATGTAATTATGGTGTTTACTTCCCATTTTACATGCATTAGGGTTCGAACACTCGGACACTTATTCGGACCCTCTTGCATGATGGCAGATATGTAATTATGGTGTTTACTTGCCATTTTTGATGCATTAGGGTTTAAACAGTCGAACACATTTTCGAACCTCTTGCATGGTGGCAGATATGTAATTATGGTGTTTATTTGCCGTTTCTGATGCATTAGGGTTTGAACAGTCGAACAGTTATTCGAACCCTCTTGCATAATGGTAAATATGTAATTATGCTGTTTACTTGCAATTTATCATGCATTAGGGTTCGAACACTCAGACACTTATTCGGACCCTCATGCATGATGGCACATATGCAAATATGGTGTTTAGTTCCCATTTCTCACGCCTTAGGGTTTAAACAGCAGGACACTTTTTCAAACGCTCTTGCATAATGGCCGATATGTAATTATGGTGTTTACTTTCCATTTCTCAGGCATTAGTGTTCAAACACTCGGACACTTATTGGGACCCTCTTGCCTGATGGCAGATATGTAATTATGGTGTTTACTTGCCATTTCTCATGCATTAGCGTGGAAACTCTCGGACGGTTTTTGGGACCCTTTTGCATCATGGCAGATATGTAATTATGGTGTTTATTTGCCATTTCTCATGCATTAGGATTCGAACACTCAGACAATTATTCGGACCCTCTTGCATGATGGCAGATATGTAATTATGGTGTTTACTTGCCATTTCTCATGCGTTGGGGCGTAAACTCTCAGACACTTGTTTGGACCCTCTTGCATGATGGCAGATATGAAATTATGGTGTTCACTTGCCATTTCTCATGCATTAGGGTTCAAACAGTCAGACACATATTCAGACACATTTGCATGATGGCAGATACGTAATTTTGGTGTTTACTAGCCATTTCTCATGCATTAGGGTGGAAACTCTCAGACGCTTACTGGGACCCTCTTGCATGAAGGCAGACATGTAATTATGGTGTTTACTTGCCATTTCTCATCCATTAGGGTTTAAACACTCGGACACTTAT